GCTGAGTACGCATGCCCAGTGTGGAACACATCTCACCACACTAAAACAGTGGATGTGGCTCTTAATGAGACATGCCGCATTATCACGGGGTGTCTGCGCCCTACACCACTGGATAAATTACACTGCTTAGCCGGTATTGCACCACCTGACATCCGCCGGGAAGTAGCAGCCAATAGTGAAAGGACCAAGGCAGAGACATCTCCAGCTCATCCCTTGTTTGGGTATCAGCCAGCACGTCAACGACTTAAATCAAGAAATAGTTTTCTTAGATCTACAGAGACACTCGCTGGAACACCTCAGCAAGCGAGAGTTCAAAAGTGGCAGGCTCAAACTCAGCACCTCAATCCGTGGGTGATACCAGATGAGAGACTCCCCCCTGGGCACACAGAAGACTGGGCGACTTGGAAGGCGCTGAACAGACTGCGCTCTGGCCCCACGAGATGCAGAGCCAATCTTAAGAAATGGGGCTACAAAGTGGAATCCACGACATGCGAGTGTAGAGAAGAGCAAACCACTGACCACCTACTGCAATGCAGCCTGAGCCCTGCTACATGCACGATGGAGGACCTTCTTGCGGCAACAGCACAGGAACTCCTAGTGGCCAGATACTGGGCAAAGGACATTTAATCAGCTACCAAGTTTGCAAAATTTGTGTGTTTTTTTGGGGTTTTTTTATCTGTTTGCTTGTTTTGTTCTGTTAGAAATGTAATACAATGTTCTGGTTGCGGATGACACGATAAATAAATATATAAAATAATAGAATCCTAGAGTTGGAAGAGACCTCATGGGCCATCCAGTCCTACCCCCTGCCAAGAAGCAGGAATATTGCATTCAAATCACCCCTGACAGATGGCCATCCAGCCTCTGTTTAAAAGCTTCCAAAGAAGGAGCCTCCACCACACTCCGAGGCAGAGAGTTCCACTGCTGAATGGCTCTCACAGTCAGGAAGTTCTTCCTCATGTTCAGATGGAATCTCCTCTTGTAGTTTGAAGCCGTTGTTCCATGTCCTAGTCTCCAGGGAAGCAGAAAACAAGCTTGCTCCCTCCCTGTGGCTTCCTCTCACATATTTATACATGGCTATCATATCTCCTCTCAGCCTTCTCTTCTTCAGGCTAAACATGCCCAGCTCCTTAAGCTGCTCCTCATAGGGCTTGTTCTCCAGACCCTTGATCATTTTAGTCGCCCTCCTCTGGACACATTCCAGCTTGTCAATATCTCTCTTGAATTGTGGTGCCCAGAATTGGACACAATTATTCCAGATGTGGTCTAACCAAAGCAGAATAGAGGGGTAGCATTACTTCCTTAGATCTAGACACTATGCTCCTATTGATGCAGGCCAAAATCCCATTGGCTTTTTTTGCCGCCACATCACATTGTTGGCTCATGTTCACCTTCCTCCCCAGAAGACTCCAAGATCTTTTTCACACGTACTGCTCTCGAGCCAGGCATCCCCCATTCTGTATCTTTACATTTCGTTTTTTTTTCTGCCTAAGTGGAGTATCTTGCATTTGTCACTGTTGAACTTCATTTTGTTAGTTTTGGCCCATCTCTCTAATCTGTCAAGATCGTTTTGAATCCTGCTCCTGTCCTCTGGAGTATTGGCTATCCCTCCCAATTTGGTGTCGTCTGCAAACTTGATGATCCTGCCTTCTAACCTTTCATCTAAGTCATAAATAAGAATAAGGAAGCTGTCCTGACCCTAAACCAGTGTCTGTCATCAGTAATGGATTGGATGAAGGTAAACAAGTTGAAACAATCCAGACAGGATAGACTTGCTCCTGATCAGTCAGAAGGCAGGCTTAGTTGGAGGGGACTAGCCTGTTAATAATAATAATATAAGAGTAATAATAATATAAGATTCCCAGGTGGTGCAGTGGGTTAAACTGTTGAGCTGCTGAACTTGCTGACCGAAAGGTTGCAGTTCGAATCCAGAGAGCAGGGTGAGCTCCCACTGTTAGGCCCAGTTTCGGCCAACCTAGCAGTTTGAAAACATGCAAATGTGAGTAGATCAATAGGTACCGCTCCGGTGGGAAGATAACAGCACTCCATGCAGTCATGCCGGCCACATGACCCAGGAGGCATCTACGGACAGCGCTGGCTCTTCGGCTTAGAAGTAGAGATGAGCAGCAACCCCAGTCCGGTAGGCTGTTAGGAATTGTGGGATTTGAAGTCCAAAACACCTGGAAGTTTGCCCATACTGGGGTTAAAATGTTACCCTCTCTATTCTATTTCCATAAACAAGAACTTTTTGTTTTGTTTGACCTTTAAGGACTGAATGTAGATGAATCATACTACTATACAAATGAAACCAAAAAACAAAAACAAACAATGTGCTGGGTTTTCTGGTTTTCTGTTGTTGTGCTGGGTAAAACAGTTTACATTTCTAACTGGTTTTTCATGTTTTGGAAACCTGCATATTTTCATCGTAGAATTAATGCAGTTTGGCACCACTCAGGACTTCACCACACTAGGGAATGAATCCACTTTAAATCCGGTTTCTGCCTCCTGCAGAGTTCTGGGGTTTGTAGTTTAGTGAGGCTGTTAAAGGCTTCTCCCTAAACTACAAACTTAAGAATTCTGCAGGAGGCAGCAACTGGATTTAAAGTGGATTCGTTCTCTAGTGTGATGAAGTAGTTAAACTGCCACTGCTCAATGCCATGGAATCATGGGATCTGTAGTTTGGAGAAGCACCAGCACTCTGACAGAGAAGGCTAAAAATACAGCTCCGACGGTTCTCTAATATTGAGCCATGGCATTTCAAGTGCTGTCAAACTGCATGAATTCCATCTCATGTGATTTATTTCTTTATGGTATTTATATCCCGCCTCTTCTCTACCCCCGAAGGGGGACTCAGGACGGCTTACAATGGCAGTCATTCGATGCCGCTACAATTCATACAAACAACCATTAAAATACATAAATACAAAATCCATTAATTAAACAGTATAAAAACATTTGTTACCAAATAGAATCGTATCCTCATGTAAATCGCCTTTCCAATCCATTTCCACTAAAGTGCTGATTTATGTCTGCTGACCGAAAGCCTGGTCGCATAGCCACGATTTTACTTTCTTCCTGAACACCAGGAGTGATGGGGTTGATCGTATCTCGTTTGGAAGCACGTTCCACAGGTGGGGGGCCACCACCGAGAAGGCCTTGTCTCTCATCCCTACCAGCCACATTTGCGATGTTGGTGGGAGCGAGAGCAGGGCCTCCCCGGATGATCTTAAGTTACGAGGTGGGACGTAGAGGCAGATGCGTTCGGACAAGTAAGCTGGGCCAGAACCGTATAGAGCTTCATAGGTCAAAACCAGCACTTTGAATTGAGCTTGGAAGTGGACAGGCAGCCAATGGAGCTGTCATGAACTGCCTTAAGTCCTAAACTGGGAAAACATTGGGATGTAAATGGTAGTAATAAGATATTGTTGAGATTATTGCTCCATTTTTATTGTGTCAGAAGCTATTTGAGATGTGTTACCATCCTGTGGGAGGCTTCTCTCATGTCCCCACATGAGGAGCTGGATCTGACAGAAGCTCACCCGGTCTCACGGATTTGAACTGCCAACCTTCAGCAGTTCAGCCGGCACAAGGGTTTACCCCATTGCGCCACCACAGCTCCTATTGCTCCATGACCATTCACCATTTTATGTCCACCCTGTCATTATCTCAGGGATGGGGAGAAAGCGGAAGGCCCTCGAGTCCCAGAACGGAGAGCCCAGTTCCTCTGGGGCTGAGCTAGAACTGCGCTGGGAATGGGAGAGCGGTGGTAACCAATGGCAGCAGTTTCCACCTGGAGAGAACGAAGCTTTGAGCCAAGCTGCCAGGTGAGTTTGGAGAGTCTCCTGTTGTTGACATGTCAAGTGAGAATTGGTCTAGGCTCTATCATGTAGGTTGTCTGTCTTTCCTGTAGGGCTGGGAAGCTGTCCGCAGATATTGGGGAGTCCTGTATCGATTTGCGCAGGATGGTGCGGCAGGATAAACAGACCGGGGAGGAAACCCGTGTGGCTGCAGCTGTGCGGGATCAGGATTCCTGTGAGTTAGGCTCTTATCATAGATTCATTATTTAAAGGCATTGTATGTACAGTAGAGTTTCGCTTATCCAACCTAAACGGGCCAGCAAAACGTTGGATAAGTAAAAATGTTGGATAATAAGGAGGAATTCAGGAAAAGCTTCTTAAACGTCAAATTACATTATGATTTTACAAATTAAGCACCAAAACATCATGTTTTACAACAACTCAACAGAAAAGCAGTTCAATACACTGTAACTTATGTAGTAATTACTGTACTTATGAATTTAGCACCAAAACATCGTAATGTATTGAAATAGCTGTGGATCCGGGTGGGAAGCAGACTGTGTTGGATAATACAGAACGTTGGATGAGCGAAGGTGGGATAAGCGAAACTCTGCAGTAATTAATTAAGAGGCCCCCTGGTGGCGCAGCAGGTTAAACTGCTGAGCTGCTGAACATCCAGAGAGTGGGGTGAGCTCCTGCTGTTAGGCCCAGCTTCTGCCAACCTAGCAGTTAAAAAACATGCAAATATGAGTAGATCAACAGGTGTTGCTTAGGCAGGAAGGTAACGGTACTCCATGAGGTCATGCTATCTACACGACCTTGGGGGTGTCTACGGACAACGCCAGCTCTTCGGCTTAGAAATGGAGATGAGCACCACCACCTAGTTGGACAGGACTTGACTTAATGTCAAGGGGAAACCTTTACCTTTGCTATACGATTAATTATAATTAATTACTGCATGTCTTCAGTTCCAAGATGCCATTGATTGCAAGACGCACACTAATTTCAGCAGCACCAACAGATCTTTTAACTGTATTGTATTGCATTTAGGCTTGGGTAACTACGGAAAAATTTGGTTCTAAACTCGTTTCGTTTTTAGGGGGGCCCTTGCGTTTTTTTGTTTTTTTTTAATAATTCCAAAATTTACCTTTAAAAAAAATTGAAATTTATGAAATTTCGTAAAATTACGAATCGATTTGTTAATGGCGCAATACGCTAAAAAACCCTCCAAATGGGACAGGGGGAACTTCTGAAGCTTCCCTCTCCCTCTGTTGTTGACTGTTGGTGTGATAATTTATTTTTTATCACTGATAAAACAAACAACAACTATAAAACTTGCACCAGATATACGGAAATAATTACGAAACAATTACGAAACAATTACGAAACAATACGAAATAAATTGGAAAAATTGTTTCGGTTTTTAATTACTCCTCACAGTAGTCCTGCATGGCTCAATATTGGATCGTAAGCTAATTTAAAAACGAATTAATAACGAATTATGAAATTAACGAACAAAACCGCCCAAGCCTAATTGCATTGTTTTTGTTTATTGCTTTCTTGCTTTTATTGATGTGTTTTTGGGCTTGGCCTCATGTAAGCCACTCCGAGTCCCTTGGGGAGATGGTGGCGGCGTATAAATAAATTATTATTATTATTATTATTATTATTATTATTATTATTATTATTTTATGATCCCTGCACATTCCTTAAACTATTGAATATAAGAGGACCATGAATGCAAATCAATTCAAAATGTGCAACTTGTAACTCATTAATTCTTGTTGTCATTTGTACTAAACAATAAGCCAAAAATTCTGGGAAGTTTCTAATTTGAGTTTGGGGCTATATTACATTTTTTTCCCCAGGGCGATTCATTCCAGTTTGCACAATGCAATATTTATTTAGAGTATTATCTCAACTAGGCCCAAACAAGCCAGGATTTCTCAACTGGGAACAACCCCTGACTTAACTATTTGGGTGTCAGAATTAGGATAAGCCAGGATTCAGGGCCTCCTCTCATTGCTCCCTCCTTTGTTTTCCAATACACAGACTTTGTCTGGCAATGGCAAGGAGACCCAGAAGGCACCTGGTTTGCGTACCCTGCAGACACGTGCCTGGCTTTGGAGGCTGCCAGGAAGAATCCTGGGGAGCCCATCGTAGAAGTGACAGTCGGTAGGACACACTACAAGCTTGACACGACTCGCATGGTACAGATCAACACCCGGACTGCGTTTGAGCGTCAGATGGAACGCAGAGAATCAGGTAGGATAGGAGAGGATTTATGTATATTAGTAGTATAGATTAATGAAGCTTTTGACACTAATCAGATCTGTGGAATCCTGGAATTTGTAGTTTGTTTAGGCACAAACACTCTGGCAGAAAAGGCTTATAAAGCTACAACTCCCATGATAACATAGCATTGAGACATGACAGTTCAGGTGGTGCCAAACTGCATCAATTCTACTATGTAGCTGCACCTTAAGTCGACTTCCTCAATGTAATCTAGGAAACTCTATCTTACAAAGTTTGTTCTCTCATTTAGTCTCCAAGGTTCCACAAGATATTCAAGAATAACCTGGCTATGTTTTTGAGCATTTATTGATTCATTCACAGTTCGTAGGTCCCCCGGTGCACAGCAGATTAGACCGCCGAGCTGCTGAACTTGCTGACTCAAAACAGCTGTTCCTCAGTGGAACTCTCTGCCCCAGAATGTGTTGGGGGGGGGGGGGTTCTTCCTTGGAAACTGTTAAACAGAGGCTGGATGGCCATCTGTCGGGGGTGCTTTGAATGCAGTTTTCCTGCTTCTTGAAAAGGGGTTGGACTGGATGGCCCATGAGGTCTCTTCCAACTCTATGATTCTATGAAAGATTGGCGGTTTGAATTTGTGGAACAGGGTGAGCTTTCGCTGTTAGCCCCAGCTTCTGCCAACCTAGCAGTTCAAAAATATTCAAATGTGAGTAGATCAATAGGTACCACTTCTGCAGGAAAGTAATGACACTCCATGCAGTCATGCTGGCCACATGACCTTGGAGGTGTCTATGGACAACACCGGCTCTTTGGCTTAGAAATGGAGATGGGCACCAACTCCCAGAGTCAGGCACGACTAGACTTAATGTCAGGGGAAACCTTTACCTTTCACAGTCCTTATTCCCTGATTGTTGTTTTTCCACTTCGTTGTCAGATGCCACAGAGGTTCAGGATGAAGGGTCCCAGCCGAGCAAGAATGCAGTGAATACTATTAACCCCATACCTGCTAAGAAGGCTTGTAACAGAGGAGGCACTTCAGCATCTCAGGGGGAGGGTGATAGCACAGGTGAGACCTAAGGAAATGCATCCTGGTGCATTGTTCCATGACTGTAGTCCCTCATAAGTTTGAGCACAGCAGCCTGGATCTTGGGATATATGGTGATTTATACCAGTTCGACTGTCAGGATCATCATAACAGCCTGGCTTCGTCGTCTCTCTGCCATAAAGAGGAGGAGGCTGGGAAGATGGATGGGGAATGTATTATAGATGAGACTTGAGGTTTTTTTCCTGAAGGAGAGGAGAGATGGAGTCACCTTGATTTCACTGGGGAGTCCATTGCACAGGCAGGTAGCCACCACCAAGAAGGCCCTGTCATCTCCGCCAGTCACGCTTGCTAGGGTGGCGGGATTGAGAGCAAGGCCTCCCCCAGTGATTGTAAACTCCGAGGTGGGTCATAGAGGGAGATACGTCCAGACAAATAACCTGGGCCGGAACCGTTTCGGGCTTTATAGGTCAAGACCAGCTCTTTGAATTGTGTTCGGAAGTGAACCATCAGCCAGTGGAGCTGACAAAGGAGGGGGGCGGGTGGTGTGCTCCCTGTAAGTTGTTCCGGTGAGTAATCTGCCACCAATCGTTGGACTACTTGGGAGTTTCCGAACAGTCTTCAAAGACAACCCCACGTAGAGCGCATTGCAACTATTATTTGGGATGTAGCAAGAGTGTGGACCACTGTGGCCAGATCAGACTTCCCAAGGTACATACTTAACCTCAGAAAACCCCACTGTAGGTTTGTTGTAGGACTGCCATAAGTCAGAAACCGCTTGAAGGTACACAACCTCAATAACAAAACACAGCGACGGGAGATGTTTGCTTCTGCTCTAAAATCACCTCCTTATTTTTTCTCTCTTGAAGCGGTGAAGACGCTGATAGTGAAGGGAAAAGCCCCTGTAGATCCAGAATGCACCGCTAAGCTGGGGAAGGTAACGCACTTGATAACATAAGGTTTGGGAAAATGTGGTTTGTGGCCCTTATGCTTTTTGTGGGGCTTAGTGCCCTCCAGAAGTTAAAAAAAAGTTTCCTTCCTTCCTGATCTCTTCCAGAACACACCAAGAACATAAGAATGGACAGTTTGGGATCAGAATAATCAGCCTAACAGTATTTAGTCTAGTATCATTCTGTTGCCAGACAGAATAAGAAACACTGACTGCCTACCCTTCAGATAAGGGGGTCTAGATCAGCAACTATTACAGTTAGAGACCTCAAATTTTGGGAAACTCAGTGTAACACCTGACTGGTGCTACAGCTAAAATTTGAACAAAATTGGAGACATGATGGTGGGAAAGTTCAGACCACTTGGCGTGGAATGACCCAAATGACTCACCTTGTCATGGCAGGCTTAGGGCTGTTCCAGTGTGAATATGTTGCTGTATAACCTGCCCTTCCATCGGTGGTGTGTAGTTATTTCCTAGGATAATAGCTTTACAGGCGAACTCAGCTTGTGTTCAGTTTTTTCATACCTGGCTCAGGAAATAACTGGGTTGTTGTGAATTTTCTGGGCTGTATGACCATGTTCCTGAAGCATTCTCTCCTGACGTTTCACCTGCATCTATGGCAGGCATCCTCAGAAATTGTGAGATCTGTTGGAAACTAGGAAAATGGGGTTTATATATCTGTGGAATGTCTAGGGTGGGAGAAAAACTCTTGTGTGCTTGAGGTAGGTGGGAATGTTTCAATTGGCCACCTTGATTAGCATTTAATAGCCTAGCAGTTTGTCAGGAGTCAATTTCTGACCCTCCGTGGCATCCTGACTGAATCATCCTGGCTGACTCAATTCTCTCTCTGACATTTTGAAGCCAGCAGAGGGTGCTGGAAACCTTGTATTGGAACTTGTGAAGCAACAAGCTCTAATAAGGAAACTGAGAAGAGGGGGGAGATGGGTAGGAAAGGTGTATAAAAGGAAGTGGTGGTGGGGAAAAGTCAGTAGTGTCTTTCTTTGCTGCAGAGATACAAGCAATATATCCATTTCAAAGCAGAACCAACTTGTGAGTGGTTATTTAATATTGCTATATAGATCCTACAGTCTTACACAGTTTCAAGGTCTGGCTTCTTACTGCCTGGAGGGATCCTTTGTCAGGAAATAACTGTTTGCTCTTTGTTTTTCTTTCTCTTTCTCTGTTTTCATCTACACTTCCAATCCACAAAAGGCTCACGTTTATTGTGAAGGAGATGATGTTTATGATGTGATGTTAAATCAGGTGAGAAGACTATACTATTTCTTTCCAGCTCTTGAGGATTATGGGACGGTGGCATCAGAAACTGCCTTCTGTCCTGTGTGGAATATCATCAGTGTTTCTCAACCTGGGGGTCAGGACCTCTGTGGGGGTCGCGAGGGGGTGTCAGAGCGGTCGCCAAAGACCATCAGAAAACATAGTATTTTCTGTTGGTCATGGGGGTTCTGTGTGGGAAGTTTGGTCCAATTCTATCGTTGGTGAGGTTCAGAATGCTATTTCATTGTGAGTGAACTATAAATCCCAGCAACTACAACTCCTAAATGCTGAGGTCTATTTCCCCCAAACTCCACCAGTGTTCACATATGGGGATATTGAGTATTTGTGCCAAGTTTGGTCTAGATCCATCATTGTTTGAATCCACAGTGCTCTCTGGATGTAGGTGAACTACAACTCCAAAAATTCAAGGTCAATGTCCACCAGACCCTCCCAGTATTTTCTTTTGGTCATGGGAGTTCTGTGTGCCAAGTTTGGTTCAATTCCATTGTTGATGAACTTCAGAATACTCTTTGATTGTAGGTGAACTATAAATCCCAGCAACTACAACTCCCAAATGACAAAATCAATACCCCCAACCCCACCAGTGTTCACATTTGGGCGTATCGGGTATTTGGGCCAAATTTGGTCCAGTGAATGAAAATCCATCCTGCATATCAGATATTTACATTACGATTCATAACATTAGCAAAATGACAGTTATGAAGTAGCAACGAAAATAATGTTATGGTTGGGGGTCACCACAACATGAAGAACTGTATTAAGGGGTCACGGCATTAGGAAGGTTGAGAACCACTGCACTATATGAACCATGCGCCGTCAGCCCTGGCTCATTGAACAGTCTCTGAATCCCTTTTCCTCTTATCTACAATAGCAATGCCTTATTGGGGTTTGTGTTGTGACAAGTCACTACAGCTGAGCATACTAAATCCCTCTCCCTGAACTGATAGTTCCAGGATTCCATTGGATGGAACTGTAGAGAAGTGTTTATTATAAAGGGTTTAATGTACTGTGTTTAAACTGTATTTATGTTTTACATGCGTGGCCATGGCCTAGCTGTGAGAGATAGGTTGCCATGGTGACAAGGCAGAAGAGAAGGTGGGCGGAGCTTAAGGAGATAAAGGTTTGAAAGTAACAGTTAAGAGTGAGTCAGGAGGATGAGACCCTGAGAAGAGGAGCGGAGTCAGTTAGGGCTCTGTGTGGTGAAGCAGTATAAATTCAGTTAGTTCTTAGCATTTGTGAATACTTCTTCAGCAAGGGAGCTGAAGGTGAAACCTTGTTAGATTGCTTGTGTAAAAAAGAATCTAACAAAGGGGGTTTTAGGGATCCCAGTAGTGAAAGACTGGAGATCGGTGGTTTGATCCGGTATAGGACAAACAGAGTGAATATTCACAATAGGGAACACTGAAATAATAAAGTACTTCACTGAAGGAGTTTAAGGATTGTAACATCAGAAGCCTGAATGTATCTCTACCAAGCCATATTGTAACCATCAAGTTTGTGCCAAGTTCAACATCTTAGTATTGCAACAATTACGTTCTGTTAACAATAAACTTGTTCTCTCTGTGTTATAAATCTGCCTCCTCCATTGATTTTACATTTGGTGCAATCCACTCTACCAAAGTTTCCTCACAACGCAGATAGGGATGAACAGAGACTTCAATTCCAACATCTCTTTATATATATAATGGTGGCAGTGTAATCAAGCAGTATTGGGACTTCCTTATAATTTATGCTGAAATTAGGTGGATCAACATACATATTTACTTAATTTTGGTAATCCCATTTAGGTGGGATTACGCTTCCTTACAGGAACCATTGCAGTAAAAATGGAATCATGGTGCTACAATTATGTAGTGTAAGAGGGCCACAGTTTCCAATCCAGTTGGCTTCTATACATGGAATGAAGTAGCATGTTGTCCTAACTCACCATAGAGATTGTTCTGAGAGGGGGAAAGGGTGAAGAAACTCCTGCATGTTTCCCTTGGAGGGGGGGGGCACCATAAATGATCAAAATCAGGAGCTAAGGGTATCCAGTTGATAGGATATGGCTTGACATAGCAACTGACCAATTGTCTTTTCAGCATCTGCGTCCATGGTGGCTGGCTGTGTCACATTAACTCTTATGAGAGCATTCTTCCAAGGGATCGGAGTTTGTTCCTTTGTTAGCTTCTTGAAAAGAAAATACGAATAAAAGGGATGGGAGCATTTCAAAACTCCTGCTTCTTATCTCTGACTTCTCCTAGACGAATGTCCAGTTCAACAATAACAAGTACTACCTCATCCAGCTGTTGGAAGATGATGGGTCAAGGAACTACAGTGTGTGGATGCGCTGGGGACGAGGTGAGCCAGGGCTGAAAACTTGGATTTGCGTCGGCAATTGTTTAGGTTGAATTTGCAGGAGAGGAATGGAAGCAAATTATGAAAATAAACAATATGGCACCAGATCTTGCCCAATCTTGGAAGCTCAGCAGGGTCAACCCTGGTTAATAGTTGGATGGGAGGCCACCAATGAATACCAGGGGCCATAGGCTATATTTCAGAGGAAGGATGTGGCATTACCACCTCTGACTATGCCTTCCTTCAGAAGGCCCTATGGAATCCACAGTGTTGCTGTAAGTCAACAAATGAGTTGAAAGTATGTGCACACAACTAGTTTTTTGATGCATTGCTTGAAATTTTCACATCAGTTTCTAACTGACCATTGTCAGAGAATATTGGGCTGACCCAATCGTGCAGAGCAAATCATACCTTATTGTGACCCAATTGGCTAGTAAATCCTCTTCCTTTAAACTGAGTACCAGGTCCTTTGGTAGAAAACATGGGTCCTCTTTTCCCATACCATCTTACTGTTCTGAACTTTTCCCCATTTTGTGTTATCGAAGGCTTTTATGGCCGAAATCACTGGGTTGCTATGAGTTTTCCAGGCTGTATGGCCATGTTCCAGAAGCATTCTCTCCTGACGTTTCACTCAGATCTACAGCAGGCATCCTCAGAGGTTGTGAGGTCTGTTGGAGACTAGGCAAGTGGGGTTTATATATCTGTGGAATGTCCAGGGTGGGAGAAAGAACTCTTGTCTGTTTGAGGCAAGTGTGAATATTGCAGTTGGCCACTTTGATTAACATGGTATTGCCTGGCAGCTTCAAAGCCTGGCTGCTTCCTGCCTGAGGGAATCCTTTGTTGGGAGTGATTAGCTGGTCCTGATTGTTTCTTGTCTGGATTTCCCCTTTTTAATGTTTCTCTTTATTTGTTTTCCTGGTTTTAGAGTTTTTTTTAATACTGGTAGCCATATTTTGTTCATTTTCATGGTTTCCTCCTTTCTGTTGAAATTGCCCACATGCTTGTGGATTTCAATGGCTTCTCTGTGTAGCCTGACATGGTGATTGTTAGAGTGGCCCAGCATTTCTGTGTTCTCCAATAATATGCTGTGTCCAAGTTGGTTCATCATGTGCTCTACTAATCCTTGTTTCTCTGGTTGAGTTAGTCTGCAGTGCCTTTTATGTTTCGTGATTTGTGTTTGGAAACAATCAGTGCCAGCTAACACCTTCCAACAAAGGATTCCCCCTTAGAATCATAGAATCATAGAATCAAAGAGTTGGAAGAGACCTCATGGGCTATCCAGTCCAACCCCCTGCCAAGAAGCAGGAATATTGCATTCAAATCACCCCTGACAGATGGCTATCCAGCCCCTGTTTAAAAGCAGCCAAGCTTTGAGCCAAGCTTTGAAGCTGCAAGGCCATTAAATGCTCATCAAGGTGATCAATTGCAACATTCATACTTGCCTCAAACAGACAAGAGTTCTTTCTCCCACCCTGGACATATAAACAACACTTGCCTATTCTCCAACAAACCTCACAACCTCTGAGGATGCTTGCCATAGATGTGGGTGAAACATCAGGAGGAGCATGGCCAGAAAACTCACAGCAACCCACTTCCCCCATTTGTTTGTTCATTTTGTCCGTTAATTCTCTGTCTTTTTCTCTCTTTTTTTCCTAGTGGGTAAACCAGGTCAGCATTCACTTGTGAGCTTTGCTGGAGCCTTAGCTAAAGCTAAAGACCTCTTCACCAAAAAGTGAGTCAAGCTGAAATTCTTGGAACAGTTACTCAACCCATCCAGTGTGTCCACTTCCTGATTTCTTCCATCTCTTTCTTTTAGATTCCTGGACAAAACCAAGAACGAATGGACCAAGCGGCAGAACTTCGAAAAAGTTCCTGGGAAATATGATCTCCTCCACTTGGACTACGAAGCCAATGACGCAGTGAGACATCGTGGCGGGAATGAGTAGGGAGAAGGTTTGGTGGCCCAAAGTATGTTGTGCCCCATAATTGCTTGTTTTATGTGTTTCCTAGAGTGAGGAAGAAGCTGCCTCAGAGAAAACCAACTCGTGTCCAACGCCAGTGTCACTGTTGGAGCCACGAGTTCAGCCCTTGGTGCAGCTGATCTGTAATATCCGCACCATGGAGGAGATGGTGATGGAGATGAAATACGATACTAAGAAGGCCCCTTTAGGTAAGAACAACCCTTTAGGTTGTTGTTATGGGCTGCCAAGTTAGTTCCAATCTATGGTATCCTCACCCCTTGGTTGTGTTTATTGTTGTTACTGCTGTAATTAATATCATCACCATCATCATCATAATCTATACATCTCTCCTTTCTCTAACGGTGGTGTGCAACATCTTGTATATTCTCTTGTGTCAATATAGACATTTTAGTAAAAAAAAAAAATCAACCCCCCAAAACTTGTATCAACTTACCCTTTGGTCAGTGTCAGTACTGTACCTTAATTGTTACCAAAAAATGTAGAGTGGGGAAAGGCAAGAGCTTGATCCATCCAAGAACTAAAGGAAACACAGTTTAAGTAAATGAAATAAACTGTAAATAAAGAATAACACTCAAAAATGGGAATTCCAGACAAGAAACAATCAGTGCCAGCTCATCACCTCCCAACAAAGGATTCCCCCAGGCAGTAAGAATCCAGACCTTGAAAACTGCTAGGGCATTAAATGCTAATCAAGGTGGTCAATTGAAACATTCACATCTACAAGAGTTCTTTCTCCCACCCTGGACATTCCACAGATATATAAACCCCATTTTCCTAGCACCCTTTCACACAGCTTTATATCCCAGAATATCAAAGCAGAAAATCCCACATTATCTGAGTGTGGACTCAGATAACCTAGTTCAAAGCAGATATGGTGGGATTCTTGATATTCTGGGATATAGGGCTGTGTGGAAGGGCGCCCAGTTTCCAACAGACCTCACAACCTCAGAGGATGCCTGCCATAGATGCAGGTGAAATGTCAGGAGAGAATGCTTCTGGAATACCACCATACCACAACAACTCTCTTTACTCTCTTTGCTGTGGGGACATTTTTGGACTTTTAAAATGTGTGGGTGGGAAAACAGTGATATTGGATATTGATATTTTTTCTCAAAAGGATCGCAAAAAGAGTAGAGGCACTTTCCCATTTCTGATATAGAGAAATAATTTCATTTTGGCTAGTTGTATATATTGGATTGGAGTTACTAGGATTCTCAAAAACTGCTAGCTCTATAAAATATCAATTGGAGGTGAAGCCTAAAGGTTTCTGTTCAACAGGATTTGGAGGGTCACTACTCCTCATCTGAAATATATGGCACTGTGCTCTTGCACATAAACACATAGTTCAAGAGAAGATCTAGGTACAAACCTCACCAACGTGACCCGCTTCCAACTCAGTCTTCTCTCCCATCTTTACTCAAGGAAAACTGACAGCCGAACAGATCCGGGCAGGATACCAGTCCCTACAGAAGGTGGAGGCATGCCTCAAACGGAAGCAAACGGGTCGGACTTTACTAGAGGCTTGCAATGAATTCTACACAAGGATTCCTCACGATTTTGGGTCAGTACTGCTAGGCTAGGAGCATCCTTGCCCACATCAGTCTCTAAGTGGGATTGTGCTAACCTGACGCTTAGAGCAGTTTGGGGTTTGTATCCTTCTCAACTATTGGCTGAAATGCAGCATGGGACTTAACATGTGTGGGAAATAAAATGACAAGAACAAAGTTTCCGTAACACAAATAAAGTTCTTTACACTTCTTTCTTTGCTTTACACAATGGGCCCTCCGAATCCAAAGGATCTGAACTTGTGTTTTCCAGTGAATATAGATCATCCTAGATATTTTTAATTACAAAAATGTGAGTCAAGCACTGATAGGGATAAATGGATGCAATGACTAAGCAAAAGCTGCAGTTCTATATAAGTAGGTGTGTCTGTATCTTAGTATGCCTCAGTGTTAGTTGCCCTCAGTATGAGAGAAGCCTCAGTATGAGAAGGTCTCAGTATGAGAAGGCTCCAGTATTAGTTTGCCTCAGTATGAGAATGCACCTCAGTGTGTGGTAGGCCTCAGAGTTAGTATGCCTCAGTGTGTGGGAGGCCTGGTGTGAGAAGGCTTTGGTGAGAGAAGCCCCAGGTTGAAGGCCATTGTGTGTGAAGGCTGCTGTGTGTAAAAAGCTGCTGTATGAAGCTCCTGTGTAACTTTGGTGTGAGAAAAGGCTCTGTGAGAGCGAAGCTGTTTATCTGTATGAGGAAGAAGCCCAGCGTGGAAGCAAAGAAAGAAGTGTAAAGAACTTTATTTGTGTTACGGAAACTTTGTTCTTGTATAGTGAAACCATGTTATTTTGCTATAAAGAAAAGCCTCCTATGGAAGAGATAACATTGGTCTGTGTGTTTTTGTTCTTTTGATCACTTTGGGCTGGGTCACGCTGCTGCTAATGATTTACTCTGTTGTACATTTATGAGGAGGGTCTTTTGTTAATAAACCCACTCGCCCAACAATATGTGCATTCATGTTACTGCTATTTGCTAATATGGGGTGTGATTTTCTGTGCTTGTTTGTATACATAGAAAGTCCCAGAACTGAATGGCATACATATATTATCGTAGTTTCACACCTCCCATATGACCTTGGAGTTGCTGCAATGTTGCAACATATAGGTGACTGTTGCGCTATGGTGTGTAATAAGCACAGGTGCAGATTGGTACACTTCAGACCAGTGGGCTCCAAAATGTAGAAATGTGCTCCGCTCCCTGAGAAGACTTTTGTCTGGGCACATGTGCATTCTGTTTTGTGGTTTTTCCTAAGCTCAGTTTCTCCTCTTCTTTCCAGGCTGAAAACTCCTCCACTGATACACACAGAAAAGGAACTGAAAGAGAAGATGCAGCTGCTGGAGGTAAGGAAACTTATTAGTAGTAGTAGTAGTAGTAGTAGTAGTAGTAGTATTAGCATTATTACTTAGGTGCAGTGGCATAGCTAAAACAAAAACATAGGACCTCCTGAATATTTGGATGGAAGGGCCCCCATAATCAAAATTAGCAAATGGTTTCATCATGAAAGACATGGTAATGGATTGACTTGAGACGGAAATCTGTTCTAGCCTCATTTGTGTACTTCTGGTCTGCTTTTGCTTCTCAAGGCCCTTAGTGAGATCCGGATTGGCATCAAAGCGGTGCGGTCAGAGCAGCTGGACCAGGAGCACCCGCTTGACCGCAGTTACCGTGGACTAAATTGTGACCTCCAGCCCTTGGAGAAGGAGAGTCCTGACTACCAGGTGTGTGTTGCGGATACAACTGTGTGAAAAGATGGGAGGACTTGTGCCAGGGCTGGGGAAAATATTTAGCTATCTAGATGGTTTGGATTACAACTCCATGATCTCTCAACATTGACTATTCCGTGTAAGGAATTCTGAAGCCAAGGCTCCCCAATTGACCTGAGCCACTTCTTAAGTAACTTGTGAGAGCCTTCTGTCTCTTTCTTACATTTCCCCCTCTGTGGTCCTTCACAGGTCCTCGAACGCTACCTGTCCTCCACTCATGCCCCAACCCACCAGGACTACACCATGACCCTACTAGAGGTCTTTGTCTTGAAGAAGGAGAACGCTGATTCCGACTCTGTCTTCTGTTCTGACCTTCCCAACCGGTGAGTGGAACGAGTGGACCGGAGCACAGCAGATGAGAGAAACCAGACCCACAGATGTGTCAGAAATATTAAAAATTAACTAGATATTTTAATTACAAAAATGTGAGTCAAGTGCTGAGAGGGTTAAATGGATGCAATGACTCAGCAAAAGCTGCAGTTCTATATAAGCAGGTGTGCCTGTAGCTCAGTAGCTGTCAGTCTGAGGTAAACCTCAGTGGGAGAAAGGCCTCAAGTCTGTGAGAAGGCCCCTACACCACTGGAGAAATTACACTGCTTAGCCGGTATTGCACCACCTGACATCCACAGGGAAGTAGCAGCCAATAGTGAAAGGACCAAGGTAGAGACATAGAGACATCTCCAGCTCATCCCCTGTTTGGGTATCAGCCAGCATGTCAACGACTTAAATCTAGAAATATCTACAGAGACACTTGCTGGAACACCTCAGCAAACGAGAGTCCAAAAGTGGCAGGCTCAAACCCAGAACCTCAACCAATGGCTGAGAGACTCCCCCCTGGGCACACAGGGGACTGGGCGACTTGGAAGGCGCTGAACAGACTGCGCTCTGGCACCACAAGATGCAGAGCCAACCTTCAGAAATGGGGCTACAAAGTGGAATCCTCGACGCGCGAGTGTGGAGAGGAGCAAACCACAGACCACCTGCTGCAATGCAACCTGAGCCCTGACACATGCACAATGGAGGACCTTCTTACAGCAACACCAGAAGCACTCCAAGTGGCCAGATACTGGTCAAAGGACATTTAATCAACTACCAAACTCACAAATTTTGTACTTTGTCTGTTTGTTTGCTTTGTTCTGTTAGAAATGTAATATAATCGACTGGTTGCCCTGACACGATAAATAAATAAATAAATGTGAGAAGGCCTCACAGTGTGAGGTAGGCCTTAATCTGTGAGAGACTCTTGTGTGTAAGGGAAGCCTCAGTATGAGAAGGCCTTGTGTGTGAAGCTCCATTGTGAAGGTTGAACTTCATTTGTGTTATGGAAACCTTGTTCTTATAAATGGTGCAACCATATTATTTTGCTCTAAAGAAAAGCCTCTAAAGGAAGACATAACAATAGTCTGTGTGTTTTTGTTCATTTTATCACTTTGGGCTACTGGTGCTGGGTCACGCTGCTGTACATTTAGGAGGAGGCTCTTTTGTTAATAAGCCCACTTGCCCAACAAGATGTCCTCTTTTAATGAATGCTTTTTCCTATGTTTCCCTTCATTTCCAGGATGCTGCTTTGGCACGGATCCCGCTTGGGCAACTGGGCAGGGATCCTGAGCCAAGGATTGCGGGTGGCACCACCAGAGGCACCTGTCACTGGCTACATGGTGAGTCTGATTTAAGATTTTGGGAGGGGACCCCTTTTGTGTCCTACAAGTGTGGGGATTTTGCTGATGGAGGAGATGGGAGAGGGCCTGCTCCACTTGGTCCCCCACTTGTGGAAGCCCTTCCTTTTTGGGCCTGAGCAGTACCAATGCTGGTGCCATTTTAGTACCAAGGAAAAGCATGTCTTTGTAGGCAGTTCTTTGACCCCCATCCAACACAGGCTGTAACCCCACACCCTGACCCACCTTACGACTGACCAGGATTTTAAATTGGGTTGCTTTAACTTATTGCTTAATATATCCCTAGTGTTTTGTTCAATATATTCCTGATATTTTGCCAAATTGAATAAACTTGGTTTTATTTCCTGCACGTCTGAGGGCCCATTTACACTGCCAAATAATTTTGTGACTGCATTACATAGTAAGTGTAGACTCATGTAATGCAGTTCAAGGCAGTTAACTGCATTTTATGAGTCTACATCCATCAGGGATCTAGCTACGGTGATCCAGGCCATGGTCATCTCAAGACTGGACTACTGTAACGCCCTCTACATTGGCCTTCCTCTGTCGGTGATCCGGAAGCTCAAGTTGGTACAAAATGCAGCTGCTCGGCTTCTTGTGGGAATTCTGATGAGATGCCACATAACACCAATCTTACTGCAGCTGCATTGGTTACCAATTGAGCACCAGATCACTTTCAAAGTGATGGTACTCACCTTTAAGGCCTTGCATGGTCTGGGGCCGATGTACCTGAGGGACCGCCTCACCCTACCAACCCCAGAGATCCCTCCGTTCTGAGGACCAAGATTTGTTGGAAATTCCCAAGTGTCAAGACCTTGCGTCTAACAGCAACCAGACGCAGAGCCTTCACAGCAGTGGCACCATCACTCTGGAATACTCTGCCACCTGAAGTCCGTGCCTTGCGGAACTTATCAGCTTTCCGCAGGGCATGTAAGACATATCTGTTTCGACAGGCCTTTGATCTTTGATATTGCTGTTTTTAAATTGTTTTAAAAATTGTGTTAGATGTTAGCCTGTTCTTGTAAGCCGCTCCGAGCCCCAGGGGAGTGGCGGCATATAAGTTTGAATAATTATTAAATAAATAAATAAATAAATAAATAAATAAATATAACGCAGCTCTAAATTTCACTATATGGCGGTGTAGATCCAATCAGTGATTTTATAATGTCAGGTGCTATTTAAGGATTTTAATAATTTCATCTTTAATTTAGGCCCTTTTCTTTGTGCCAGGTTTCATTGTCCTCCAATATATTCCTTTTTTCTTCTTCCTCTCCATCTCCAGTTTGGAAAAGGGATCTATTTTGCAGACATGTCCTCTAAGAGTGCTAATTACTGCTTTGCAACCCGGGAAAAAGACATCGGCCTGCTGTTGCTTTCAGAGGTGAGATTTTTTGCGTGGGATTAATCAACAGAATCCTTTGACATCTTTATAGATGAACACATTTATTGTGGCACATGCTGACAGGGACCAAGCAGATACTGTGTGAAGGCATGCTATAAATCACGTGGAATCTGGCAAACTGATGCTACTAGACTCAAGTCTTAGCAGCAACAAGGGATGCTGAGAAATGCTACCCACAAGCCTCTGGAGGACTATATGATTCCCAACCCAGATCAAATCAAGTTATGGTCTCCAAGCCTCCAAAATCATGCTCATCTTTCTTCCTTCTCTCTTGCATTTTCAGTTGGATGACATTTCAAGCTAACCAATAATATGTAGACTCTTAAAGAGTTGGAAGGGGACACAAAGGCCATCTAGTCCAATCCTGATATACACAGTTACAGCCCTCATGAAATGTGCCTGCTACATGTTCACTTGCATTGTTTTGGAACACTAAATGCTATATATAACACATGAATTGGTAATGAAGTTCTCACTGTCTTGCAGGTGGCTCTGGGCGAATGCAATGAATTGCTAGAAGCCAATCACGAAGCAGAGAAATTGCTGTCCGGCAAACATAGTACTAAAGGCCTCGGAAAGCTAGCTCCATCCTCAGCCAACAGTGTCACACTGTGAGTTTGTTTTGTGGGGCTGGTCTGTATCAAAATGCAGTTTCGTGTGCTTAAGGTATTATAGATTGGGAAAATACTTTTCAGTACAAGTAAATGAGACATGGGCAAACTTGGGCCCTCCAGGTGTTTTGGACTTCAACTCCCACAATTCCTAGCAGCCTACTGGCTGCTAGGAATTGTGGGAGTTGAAGTCCAAAACACCTGGAGGGCCCAAGTTTGCCCATGCCTGACCTTGTTGTATTTTGTGCAATGTGTATCTTTCCTGCCAGGCATGGAGCTGTGGTTCCCCTGGGGCCTGCGATAGACACTGGAGTAGTGAACCCTCACGGCTACACCCTGAACTACAATGAGTTCATCGTCTATGATCCGCGACAGGTGCGCATGAAGTACCTCCTCAAGGTGCGCTTCAATTTTACCCAGCTCTGGTGAAACTCAAAATGGACTACTACGTCAAAGAATCACTGGCATCTGCTCCAAAAAGAAGCATTTCAAGTGCCTTCCAGTTCAAGAGAGATTCTCCCCTTCAACAGACTTTGATGACAAGATTACCGTTGAGAAAAAAATGTGATAATTAATTCAAACCACTAAGTTGTAATTAATACTCATTCACAAAAAAGGGGCACAGTGATTGAGAAGGCTTAGTGTAAATAAATAGTGAAGGTGCCCAATTTCTCCGTTTTTCTTGCTTCAGCTGTAGAGAAATGCAACATGGCTAGCAACCCTACTTTCCAATAAATATGAAGGAAATGCCTTTGTCTTGAGTCTGGTTTGAGCTCATGGATGTACATTTTGTTATTATGCTAAGTTTGGCATTATTTTAACGGAAGGAAAAAAAAGTTCCATATCAGGTCTACTCATAGTATTTTCTGTTGGTCATGAGGGTTCTTTGTGGGAAGTTTGGCCCAGTTCTATCGTCGGTGGGGTTCAGAATGGTCTTTGATTGTAGGTGAACTATAAATCCCGGAAACTATAACTCCTAAATGTCAAGTTCTATTTTCCCTAAACTACAGCAGTGTTCACATTTGGGCATATTGAGGATTCATGCCAAGTTTGGTCCAGATCTACATCGTTGTTTGAGTCCAGAGTGACTAAGCTCTCCTTCCTCTCCTCCCTTCACCCCAGGTGCACTTTCTCTCCTTCCTCGCCCCGCATGTACTCCCCCTCCTCCCTCACCTTGTGCACACTTTGTCTCCTCCCTCGCCCTGCATGCTCTTCCTCTCCTCTCTTGCCCTGCACACACTCTCCCTCCTCCTCCTCTCTCACATGCTTTGTCTTCTCTCTTACCTTGCACATGCTTCCTCTCCTCCCTTGGCCTACACGCACTCTCCCTCCTGCTCCTCCCTCACACGCTTCGTCTCTCTTGCCCTGCATGCATTTTCCCTCCTCCCTTGCCTCGTGTGCGCTTCCTCTTCTCTCTCGCCTCTTACGTAGCTCTTCACTGCCACCAAGAATCTCAGTCTTCCTAGAGTCTTGGTAGCCTAGGTTTTGGACTATAAGATGAAGGATTGTGGGGCATTCAGGTAGTTTTAGTCCCCAAAAAAGCAGCTTTCTCAATTGCTGACAGATGCATGTGGGTGACTAGGAAAGTGAATCTGCCGACATTCCGCTCAGTAAGAGATCGGATGGGCCGATGGAGACCACGAATTCCAGAGAAAAACATGGCAGCACTCCCAGATACTTATTACATTTATTACTCTATTATTATTACATTTATTGTTTTACTACTTACTATTATTACATATATTATTTTATTCTTTCATTGTTATTATTACATTTATTATTTTACTCTATTATTACTGGAAGGATATGTAAGCATATTTACATTGAAGAAGGTTTGAATAAGGATTTAATCAGAGTTGGACAGTCTTATCTTAAATTACAGTTTTATGTAAATATTCAGAAACATTTAACCTACTGAGGCCTCAATTAATGTAATTTTATTGCTATCTATTTTTGTTTGAAATTTACCAGTAGCTGCTGCATTTCCCACCCTCAACTTATACTTAAGTCAATACGTTTTCCCAGTTTTTTGTGGTAAAATTAGGTGCCTCGGCTTATATTCAGGTCGGCTTATACTTGAGTATATACGGTAAGTCCCAGTACTCTTGTTTCTGAACCACAATGTCTTTTTTCATAAAAATGTATGTATATAAGTCAAACTATATGTATGTATGCATCTATGTTTGTATGTATGTATTTTCCAAAATGGCTAACACATCCAGACACCACCATGAACCCATCAACAATGGATCGGGATCGAACTTGGCACACATACCTGTCATGACTACCTTTAAATATTGGTGGGGTTTGGGTGGAATTGACCCAGAATGATGAGAGTTGTAGTCCAGCCACATCCAAAGACCTGTGTGTTTTTCTAATTGCACCATTCATAATCATAACATCCAAAAGCAAAACAATGGCTATTTCTAATATTTATAATTATAAAATACCTAACCCAATCATCACTGGGTACCTAAGCTAGTATCATATACAAACAAATGTTTGAAATACTTTTTAAAGCTGCAGAAAGGCTTAAAATTATGTTCAAATAAGTAAGCCAACTAGCTTGAAACTCAATGGAAAATTGCCTTCTACTGAGGAAAGGAATGCATTTGGAGTTTTATTGTCTGCTCCCTGAGCAGTCAGAAAGTGAGTTGATACCAATTAGAAAGCCAAGAGGATCAGCTTTGTTTTCAAGCAAGTGTTTATTTTTCATCCATACCAGTTTGACTCAACCAAGGCTGCCAAGATAACCTCTGCTAAGCATCCCTTGCCTCTATTGAAATTCTCATTTCCCAAGAAGCCATAGAAGAGGCATCGATGGCCTTGTGTGCAATGGAAAGGGACAAGATGGTTCCTCAACCACGAAGACAGCTCCACTCCAGGAAGTACACATTGCCCAACGTGTCCCCAGCCAAGAGGAGGAATGGGAAGTCCATCTGAGGGCAAGGCTGGAGATGTGAAATGGGGGCACTGCAGCGGAACTGGCCCAGCTGTAGAAAATACAAAGGGGAGAATCAGACCAGAGAGCATAAAGGACAAGATCTGGTTAAGCCATGGGTTGACAACTCTTTGGAAGTTTGGGATTTTGAGTTGCATTCCAAAACATTTGGAGAACCAAAATGTCCCCCATCCCCAGGAAAAGGGAATGAAATGGTGTGGTTAAGGAAGCAAATAGCTCAGTACAGGTAGTCCCCGAGTTACAAACAACTCATAGGTAAGAATCGGGGTGAGACAAAAGAAAGTGACATAAATCTACCCCTCAGAAGGGAAATTTACTCCTGAAAGAATTATCTCAATTAGACCCAATTCTTTCTTATCAAGGAATGTAGTTATTTGTAAATAAACCTTTTATTGGGTAACTTTAAAGATTGAACTCTGCATTTTTGCCTGCTAAATTCTTTTGCAGACACACAACACTTCAACTTTCTGCTCGCTGTGAGCCGACTGCTCAATTAAGTATCCTGTTTGTATTTGTGGGTGCTCTGCTATTTTGAGAGAATTCCCTAACAGTTTTCACAACAAGCCATTTTTTAAAAATCCAATTCTCACAGGGACAGAAAGTGAGGTGAAATATTCTGAACAGTGGCACAGGCAGCAAAACAAACTTCACAGAGGTGTTAATCCTTCTCTAGGCTATCCAAAGCTCATATATCTATATCTATACACACCGAAACACGTATGTATATATATGTATATCTATATGTATAAAGGTAAAGGTTTTCCCTTGGCATTAAGTTTAGTTGTGTCTGACTCTGGAGGTTGATGCTCATCTCCATTTCTAAGCCAAAGAACTGGCGTTGTCCATAGACATCTCCAAGGTCATGTGGCCAGCATGACTGCATGGAGCGAGGTTACCTTCCTGCCAGAGTGGTACCTATTGACCTACTCACATTTGCATGTTTTCTAACTGCTAGGTTGGCAGAAGCTGGGGCTAACAGTGAGAGCGCATGCCACTTTCCGGATTCAAATCTGTGACCTTTTGATCAGCAAGTTCAGCAGCTCAGCAGTTTAACCCACTGCGCCACCAGGAGCTTTATATATACGTATATGTGTAAGTATAACCCTACACACACATACACATACATACATACATATACACACACACACAACTAGCCACAAATCTCAAGTTACCAGGGAGTACGTATGGCTCGTGACTACTTAATATACTTGTTTGGGAATCCAGGAGTGTTCCCAATTTGAAGGACTACAACTCCCCCAAAGGCCCAAGCCAAAATAAGCAATTGTAATGTATTCTGGGAGTTATAGTTCAAAATAGCAAGTGGGATCCAGGTTGCATTCACTGTGCCAAAGAGGTACCATACAGTTCTGCAAGCCACTCACCAGCTTCATTGTACTGCTTTCCCAAATCTTCACATCCCGATCATGAGATGCTGTCACAATCCTGTCTCCAAGAATATGCAGAGCGGTGATTTTATTATTGTGCATCTGAAATGAGTAACACAACCAGGAGGGGTAAGAATGGGTGGGCTTCTTTTGTGGCTGAAAGAGAATATCCCCTTGCCATTTTTTTCTGGCTCCATCACAATGAGGTCTCTTCCTGCTAAAATAAACCCCATCTCTCAATCCATAATGCTCACCTTTCTCCTCAACCAGCCATCAATCCCCCATCTAGGGACCCCTTCCTCATCCTGCCTGGTCTGAGTCCAAAGAGATCCTTCCGAATCTGCATAGATCAGGAACTTATCTGCCAGAAAGCAAATAGTGAATGTCTCAGAAATGCATATGTACCACCAAGGCACTTAAGCCTTCTCCCATTTGCTCTTTCAAGATATGTTAGTTCTGCTCTATACAAATCCATCATCTGAAATTGGCTTAACTCAATAATTAACTTCTGTGTTAACACAAAACTATTTATACAGGCATGTAAACCTGCATCACAACACCACGTCATTATCATGCTTGGCACAATGCTGCCTTTCCATGTAGGGCTTGTAGAGCACGCAAGGAGTGAGTGTGTGTGTGTCAACTGTAAAATAAGATGCATGAAGCTGATTGGTTAGGCAATGCCAGGGGAGCAGGCTGAGCCTGGGACTTTTAGTTACTGTTACATTTTTGTTCAGGCTTGAGCTACGCAAGTGTTCAGAGAGAGAAGAGGAGAGAAGCAGAGAGAGACAGAGTTTGAAGTGTATCCTTGCTTCATGAGCTGCTGAAGGAGTTTATCAAAATGGACAAACGAAAACCCATTTTAAATCTCTCAAAAAAGGACATTATATGTGAGTTGGTGCAACTGATCATATTGTTGTTCTGAACTAAGAAGAGTAAAATACTTGTTCTTTACTGTTCACCTGCGTGGCATATTTTCTTTCTCTGGCAAGGCAGTGGGGGCTGATCAAACATGAACTACACATGGTTTATTTTACAGAATTTGGCTTAACTCAATAATTAACTTCTGTGCTAACACAAAAGTATTTATACAGGCATGTAAACCTGTGTCATAATAACTAGTCATTACCAAGTCTGGCACAATGCTGACATTCCATGTAGGGATGATGTGGTGTATCTCTGCATTTGGATATTCACACAGTGTTTGAGAGATGTCAGGACTACAGCCTTTGAGTATATGGTGTATCAGCATTTAGTTTTGACTTAACGGAAAACATCCCCCTCTTACCTTTCACCAGATGAGCAACAGTGACCCAGCCAGAGTTTTGGTTGGGTTTCCAAGGTATGTGCTCCGTCTCCTGGGCTTCCTTCAGCTCCCCAGACTCAGTCACTTTCTAAGGAAATCAAAACCAAACAAGA